ACATATATAAATACATACAAAACGAAACACAACTCACTTACGGTTATAAAACGAGTAATTGTAGAAATAAATCACACCAATTAGTGTTTTCCACCAATATCCTGACCTATTTTGCCAAATCGAGGTTGAGCGCCATAAAAAACAAGCAATATCTGGGATGCAAGTAATCAAAACCTTCAGCCGTTCAGTCAGTGCCATTCAGATCATCAATAATCAGCCATCGGCAACTGAATTCAGTCCAACAGCAGGTAATTCACAATTAAATTACAAGAATTATCAAGGCCCGCGCGTAATTAAATCACAACGACTATGAAACATTTCGGGCTTCATAATATATAAATTCTTTCGACTCGCAGCTTTATATTTTTATGTGCATGAGCTCTTTTTTTCTCTCCCTCTCTCTCTTTGTCGTTAAGAAAATGTTTCATATCAGCACCAACGCACTAGGCGCGGACTGACGGAAATAAAAACTTTTCCTCACATTGTTCTGCCTCCGTTCCCTTCCCCCTACTTCCCCTCCCCCCCCTTTCAGCCTTACTTCCCCCGCACCCCCCCCCCCTCCTCTCACCCTTACTTACCCCCCCCATCCCCCCCCTCCCCTCACTCTTACTTATCCAACATACGCCTTCCCTTAAACCCTGTTTACCCAATACCCTTACCCAATACCTCCCTCCCCTCACACCTCCTTGCCTCATAAAATCACTCCCCTCACCCCTAACACTCCCTCTCCCCATCCCTAGTGACTCTACCCTCCCCCCTCACACCCCAACCTAACATACACTCTTTTTCCCCCTCACCCTTACTTACTTACAACATACTTCCTTCCCTCACTCTTACATACCCCCCCTCCCCCCCCTCACTCTTACACATCCCACACCCTCCCTCCCTCCCCTCACCCCTCTTCCCCCACAACCCCACCTCCTCCCCTGCTGGCGATGCCTCTGGCGCGGCGAAGAAGAAACGGAGGGCTGGGGGGCCTTCGGGAGAGAAAACAGTTAACGAGTAAATAATCCCGAGACAGGAACACAGCGGACCTTGGAGAGAAATATGAAAGGGAGACAATAATAATATTAAAAAAGATCGCATATTTCACGTTTAGCTTATTTGGGAAGCGTTTAGGATGTATTTTGAACTCCTGTATTATTATAGGGGAAAGGGGACGTATTCACGCGACGTGTATATCTTATATATGCAGGGAGAGATATGGAGAGTAGGAGAGTAAGAAGGGAGAGAGAGAGAGAGAGAGAGAGAGAGAGAGAGAGAGAGAGAGAGAGAGAGAGAGAGAGAGAGAGAGAGAGAGAGAGAGAGAGAGAGAGAGAGAGAGAGAGAGAGAGAGAGAGAGAGAGAGAGAGAGAGAGAGAGAGAGAGAGAGAGAGAGAGACAGAGAGAGAGGGAGAGAGAGAGAGACAAATCCCGCCAACAGAACAAATTCCGCCCACTGTTCGGAAAGGATCCGAACAACAGAATGACCTGACCAACAGAACGAGTTCCACCCTATGTCGATCCACGCTACCCGACCTACAGACCGAGTTCGACCCGCCATCCGAAACGCACCCGACCCACAGAACAAGCTCGACCAACCGTCTAAAACACAACTCAACAGAACGAGTTCCACCTTATGTCTCATCCACGCTACCCGACCTATGGAACGATTCCAGCCCGCCACCCGAAGCGCATCCGACCCCCAGACCGAGTCCGGCCCGCCACCCGAAACGCGACCCGACGCACAGACCGAGTCCGGCCCGCCACCCGAAACGCGACCCGACGCACAGACCGAGTCCGGCCCGCCACCCGAAACGCGACAGACCCGCAGACCGAGTCCGACCCGCCACCCGAAACGCAACCCGACCCACAGACCGAGTCCGGCCCGCCACCCGAAACGCAACCCGACCCACAGACCGAGTCCGGCCCGCCACCCGAAACGCGGTCCGACCCATGGAACAAGTCCGGCCCGCCACCCGAAGCGCATCCGACCCCCAGACCGAGTCCGGCCCGCCACCCGAAACGCGACCCGACCCGCAGACCGAGTGCGTAACCCGGCTCTAATGCTGCCAGCGCCGGAGCACCTTAACGACCCGACCGCTGATCGCCCCACAGCTTCTTTTATTTCTGCCATAAAGAAACGGCGGCAAGACATCACGGCAAGACAAGTACACGATTCAGGCAACGGCGGCGCCCTCGCAGACGAAGGGGAAGGAGGCGGGAGGATGGAATGGCGGAGGAGATGAAGCTCTTCAAAGTGGCCGGCTTTTCTGAGAGGGAAGCGCACGGTTAGCTCTTCCCAGTGAATGAAAGGAATTGCGTGTACAAATAGATTGGTGATAGACAGATAGACATATACATAGACATACATATACACGTATACATACATGCACACACATACACACACACATACACACACATACACACACACACACACACACACATACACACACACACACACACACATACACACACAGGCACACACACACACAGGCACACACACACACACACAAATACA